TGTGGAGAGGAGTCCTGGATCTCCTCCCCAAGTGGCATGGCTAAATATTTGCCCTCCTCCACTTGGCTGTCTAGACACATCCACTCAGCCCCCTTCCCATCACTCCCATGTTCTGCTCAGAAGCGGCGGGCGCTGGCACGGTCAGGCAGGCAGGTCGCCAAACCTACGACAAAAAGTTTCTCCTCACTGCCAGAGGTCACGCAAGTTCACCAGCCTAAAGGATGGGCTTCGCATTTTTAAAACCTCTGGGCTGTCATTTGGGGAGTCACATGCACACCAAGCCAGGGACAGAAGAAGAAGAAGGAGGAAAAAAAAAAAAAAAAAAAAAAAAAACACTGTCAAATGGTCTTTGTGCTTCCCAATGATTTGGAGAATGGAAACCTCAGAACTCGACGAGCAGTCTCCGCGGACCTCTCTGAGATAGTGTTCCATATTCATTACCTTTTTTCCACTCTTACATGGTGGGGTTTTAATTGCCCACAATTCACACTAAAAAGCTAGATGAGCGGAGTGAAAGCGCCATGCCTCTAGAGAGGGAGATGAGGGAAGTCCACCTCCACCACACTCCTGATAGGCGCATAACTACTAATAAGAGTCCTCATTACACATAACCAGATTATTCCCTCAGCTATTATTCCAAGTTAATTTTTCTTCTCCGAAGACACTCACAGTCACAGGGCACCTACAAATGATGAACCAGTGTGCTTCACTGCTATGTAGCATATAAATTCCAAGAGACCCAAAAGATCATTAAACAAGTCAAACAGAACATCTTTAATTTAATGACTTATTCCATTCGAGGTAAAAACGCAGCTCAAATCTACTAACTTTATATTGCATACTCAAACATCGCAACTTTGCCTTAAAACTTATTAATTAATATGACTTCACACTATAACAGAGGGCAGTGGAACTGAGGCAGGTACTTGCACTTTGCTTGACTACTTTATGCAGCTGTATACAACTATTCCAATGCATTAGAGAGATGAATATCAAGTTTTTAAATCTACTATCATTTACCAGTTGTATCTGTTTAATTTCAATAAAGTCACCAAGTAAATGCTAGAAATAGCAAAAATATTTATTTTGTTACTCTTTGGTGGCTGGGTACCGCTATACTGAACCATCTGTAAAAAGGTACACATGGTGCATCAGTATTATCAATGTAATCTGAAGTTGTAAATCAGTTAATCCTGCTTACTTTTTTTTAACAACATTGGTAAGCAAGTTAGGGCTTTGATCAAAAATGCCAAATATGTTAGACTGAACTTTGAATGAGACAATTTTATGCCTCACCTAATAACCAAATATCTTTAGATGTTTAGACTGCTGAAACATGATGTCTTCATGTATTTTGTTGAAATTATACCATTTGTTCTGTCATTTTGTTTAACAAATAATTTATTAACTAATGAAGAAAATAATCTGCCGCTGGGCTAATGAACACACAATGCTATTAACAAATATGCCTCCATTTGTGGCTCTGGTACGCACACTGTTAGGGGTTAAGCAAAGAGAGGCAATGTACATACATTTTGGTGAAACTTTGACTCTTATGAAGACATATGGGGTAGACAACAGAGAGGTGGATTACTGTGGAAGTAACATCAGAAGATTTGATAGCTCATGATCCTTTTTTTCCTCTGGGAAAAAAAAATCACTTCTGAACATCGTAAACGACGTGAGTTCAAGCTGAGCACAGCTGTTGTTCTCTGTAGGAAGACAAAAAAAAAATTTTTTAATGGACACCTTTTAAAGGAATAGTTCAGCACTTTAGAAATAGACTTACTACTTGACAGTAAGTTGGGAAGGAGACTTGTCATTCTAAAAATACAATTTGTAGCTTTTTCACTATGATTTTTTTAAAACCTTCCTGGTAGGCGGAGTTTAGGCAGTGACTGACTAGCCATTTCCCTTGTTTTAAATAGTGTATGCGATGCTAACCAGCTGTTGTTGAAGCCTTGAACATATAAAGACATGCGAGAGTTAATGCATCTTATATCATTTTGCTATACAGCAAAAAGCATTTTCTTATCCCAAATAGTCAAACTACTACTTAAATGGGTGGGATGGCTACCATGTAAGAACGTGGCAGCAATGTTAAATAATGATGATAATGGATGGACAGCTAAAGCTTGTGGTCCTAAAACATGACTGGTTATTGGTTGCTATAATGCTAACAAATTTCCCCCACTTTCTCACCGACTTTGCCAACTACTTCTCTACTAACCTGAGAAACTGCCAGTCAAAGTCTCCATGTAGAAGCGGGGGTAAGAAGCATGAGTGAAAGAGGGGACAGAGCGTATGTGTGTGACAGTGAGTTGGGAGAATTGAAAGGGGGAAACAAACAGACATACCAATTAAAAAATTCAAATGCAGCACAGCGATAATAGTAGAATTATTATATTGTATTGGCGTAATTACAGAACCAGTGACTTGCCTCGCTCTGGTCCACCCACCCATCACGTCTCATAGGTCAGACCACTCATATACTGTACACTCTAAAATCAGGAAAATTAAACACTCACTTTATCTGTGCAATAAGTAGCAAACAAAATAATATACTACTGTAATAATTTTCAATAAATTCACAATACGTTTGCAGTGTAACAGTACACGTTATGTACATTTGAATCCAAAACCATGTGCACAATAAATAAATAATCAAAATCAGACTTAAGAGCCTTATTCAAAAGAATTAGCAGCATCTCAAACTTTCAATATTGCTACATGTTGAGTTACAATGTGATGAGAAAGCAAACTGTTATAGAAGATGAGGAAACATGCCTGTTACACATGCTGTTTTTCATTGCACTGCACCGCCTGGTTGTTCTGGGCTCTGGTTATATTCTGTCACATTAACGCTGGGATAGAGGATATGTTGACAGAGAGAGGACATTGCACATTGAGACTGTAGGGCTTTTCTAAGGCTGGTGGCAGTGCGACACAAAGACAAGTGTGCATCTCTGCGCGTCTGTGCATAGAAGTAGAGGATTGCCTGTGGAGCAGAGCATGTGGATGCCCACCCACTCAGCAGCCTCGCGGCCCTCGTCATTTCGCATCAATCCACAGCCCCTCAATATAAATAGGACAGGCGTCCTAAAGCTACGCAGTACTATGAGAGGCAGTGGCATTATGCATCGACCCTGGGCCCCTCAGCTTGAAATATGACTACCCCAGCCTGTTTTAATGGCAGTTCCCCTCTCACTTGCAAGCCACTCTGTTAAAAGGGAACTATTTTGGGAGTAGGGATACAGGAAATTGATACACCTTAACATTTTGGTACTGAATACAAGAATTCAAGACAAACTGCTGCTAAAGGACGGATCAGTGTAACTGCAGATTTTGGAAACCTCATTTTAATTCCACATTTAAAAATTTCATCTCTAAAAAAAGCTTTTCCAAGTACTGCTTTTCTGTTTGTTTGTTTCTTGTGTAGTTACTGAAACTTTTGCACAGTTTGAACAATTTTTATCCAGCACCAAATGCTAACTGAAGCATGTGAACACATGAAGAGAGAGGGAAAAAAATTAGACCCACTATTTTTGTCATATTTTCCCAATATTCATGCCTCGGTAGATAATCTAGAGACATAGATTTTGCTTCCTTAGCAAACTTTAAATGTATGTAAAACACTGAGTATGCTACACGTTATGTACCTTATGTTATTTAAAACTTGTCTGTCTGGCTTCACAATTGTTAAGTGTGTTTGATGAAGCTTATACTTAATTTTACCTACAATAATGTGCAAAGTGAACCACATATATAAGCCATCATAAGCCAATGGGCTGTAAGGAACCGAAGGTGGTGCACTAAAATAGAGAGTAAAGTTCCACACGGTAGCTTCCCTGTGGCGTCACAGAAGCTTCACACTTCATTACTGCAAGTCCATCGACATGTGAAACTATTATGTGGGAGCAACAGGAAGGGAAATGCGCGCTTATGCACGTGTGTGTGTGTAAGGGGTAACAAATAACCACCCTTCCACAAAATGCTTTCTAGAAGCAGGATCAAACCATTCACTTGTGTTTTACTATATTCAAACAGCTGGAAGGTGTTGTTGGTTCTCTCAGTGTTAGATGACAGGAGAGGAAGAGACATCATGCAGGGCATTTTCTTCTTCAACAGGTCTGCAAACAACTATATTTTAACAAATCGACTCTGATGCAAATGCACATTGGGATTTTAAAATGAAAAACATACTAAGTGAGGTTCAAATGCCTGTCATGCAGCTAAATTCATCTTCATCCATCGTCTTCACCATAAACAAAGAAATAAACAAATCTGTCTTCTACTTCCACCCAGTGGCCAAAAACAGAATGTCACACATGCCGATCATCACTAAAGTCTGCATTTCGTGTGACTCAATTTACATATATACTGAATCAAATACTACAAAAGATAATAGTAAATACTTTAAAAATGTGCATAACTTCATCATGCAACATCTGTTTCACAGTAATGGAAATTGCTTCCGTCAATTATTTCTCCTAGCCTCAATCTTCAAAGATGACTTGTCCCAATTTAGAAGGCGGAAACAAATAGTTCTTTAGTATTTTTGGTATGTTTTGATCACGATTGTCTTCTGCCAAGAGGTTTTTTGATTGCCAGTTGCCCACCGAGTTTACAAAGAATAGCTCATTATTTGGAAATCAACATTTCAATTAGACTAATACTGGCACGCCTCCTGCTCAAAGCGTGATTGAGTGCGTAAGTACTTGTATAAACTGCGGAACAATCAAACATTAATTTTCAATCAAAAACTTTGGTATTCGTGGCAGTATCCCAGGGCACTTAAGCGACTGCCAATGCTGGGCATTTAGCACCGATTCGATTTTTGGCTGCTAAATCAATTTAACAAGCAGCATGATAAAGTTATCACAGAAAATGTTATTCAGATGGACAGTTGACAAGACCTGTGTTCATAGACTACGAGTTGTAATTTAGCTTTATAGGTGCACCCCTGAAGTATAATCTGTGTGCATGATTTACTCTGCAGGGGGCAAAGTGTAGGGACCCTTCGTGTGGTGGTTTGGTAAGGTAATCACAGAAATTAGGAAAGACTAGAAAATACAGTCTATAAGCTACTTGTATGAGGAATGGATGCAGAGTTTCTCTCATTAAACGACGACAGCTTTCGTCTCAGTTTAACTACAATCTTGTGGCTGAAAACAGAAGAAATTGCAAAAGAATACAAAAAATGCTAATAGTGTCACGCTGTGAATAAATATTACAGCTTAAATTCATGTTGAGACAAAAGTTATAAGTAAAAAATACACATTTCTATGACTGCATAAACATTTTCTTTATGTTTCAAAAATGCTACAATTAAAGAAAAAATAGTAATTGGCACGCAAACTGCCTCAGCATTTCTTTCAAAGCAACAGCGAGAGATAAATTTGATTTTAAGTTCATATACTCAGCCAATCAGCTGCTACATTTGTGTATTAGCTTGTTACAAAATAAAAACGATTCATTACCTTGGTCGCGCTTTTTCTGTCCTTTGTATTGAAATGCTGAATTGTCAAACACCTTTAAAACTTTTTCTTTTTCGCAGGCAATGACAACGGACAGCCGAGCTGCATCGTAGGACCCAAAGGGGCCAAGATGGCTGCGCCCTTGACAGACGCCGGGGAGTTTGAAAGCTGGCTAAATGATCGACTGGACTTGTTAGAAGTGGATCGTGAGGTGTATGGGGCGTACATTTTAGGGATTCTGCAAGAGGAGGAGACCGACGAGGAGAAAGAAGATGCGCTTCAAGGAATTTTATCTGCATTTTTGGTGAATATTCGAAGCGCATGTTCGGTTCTCCCAACAAGGCTGTGTTTTCTCGTCTGTTGCTGTCCGTCTTGTCGGTCTCCTGGTAGCTTACCAAGTGACAGTGCTGATGTCAGCCTCTATATGTGGCACTAATGATCGACCGTAGATGCTATTAAGTTTCTTTAGCTAAGATCCAGTAGTAATATAGGTCAAATTGTTTCGCCAAACCCCACTAAGAAATCGCCAGGTTTTAGATGAATGTGGTCTTAAGCCGCAATGATGCGCACCACGTAACAAATAAAGGCTTTTCTACATTTTCCGAGACGTTTTTACGTTTGCGGCTCAGAAAAAATACAGTAAATCACCTAGTGCAGTTTATATATATATATATATATATATATATTGATAAAATAACGTATCTAAACTTCTTGTCTTATCACTGCTCCTGAAAAAAATATGTTTTATGTAGTGAGGTCAGAATTCGAGTTGTTACTTCTGTGTGACTTGCTTGAATTCGCTGTCATTTGTGTACAGGAGGAGAACACAGTGGAAGATGTCTGTAAACAGATCATAAAGCAGTGGGAAGAGTGTTGCAGCAAATCTGCAGCCAAAAAGGATGCTGATGATGGTATTGTATGACTGATTCATTCCCGATACCATATTTATTGTCCTTGACTCAGAGTTACTCAGTTGGGAGTAAGGGGAAAGCAAACAGGACAAAAGCCAAAGCATGGGAGCGAGTCAGTGTTTAATAATTACTAATGATTAAAATGCAATAGTGGTGTTTAAGCACACAGGGTGAAAAGAGGTGAGTTAAGAAACACTCAGTACATCATAGGAAGCCCCCCAGCAAGCCAAGCTTAATGAAGCCTAACTAAGGGATGGTTCAGGGTCACCTGATCCAGCCTTAAATATAACCTTTTCAACATTTTAAGCCTACTCTTAAAAGTAGAGAGGGTGTCTGTCTCCCAGATCTAAACTATGAGGTAGTTCCACAGAAGAGGGACCTGAAAGCTTAAGGCATTACCTTCAACTCTGCTTTTAAAAAATCTAGGAATCACAGGTAAGCCTGTAGTCTGCGATCAAAGTTGTATATCTTCTCTACAAAGAACACAAGAATAAATTCATCAAAGGATGGCAGATTCATCAGTTTATTTAAATCCAGACTGAAAAGGGAAAAGACAGCTTGCTACTTAGGCTGTCTTTAATACTGGTTAAACTTACAGAAGCATTACATCTATGAGTTGAAGATCGTTTGCCTTGAGTTTAAAGCAGAGTGCTTTGTGACACTTCTATCCAAGGGAGAGATTTCCTGGAAACACTAACAAAAGCAGCCCCCAAGACTGAAACCAGAATGTAGGCTTGAGTTTGGAATGAGAATGTTGACTATGTACATAACCATAAGGAAGTGTTATGCTGTGTGGAGACATATTGCCCTCATGGCTCCATCTGCTAGTAAACCTATATACTGACAGCGAGAGAGGAAAAAAATCTAAAATAGCAAAAGCACATTTTTTGTCCTTTCTTCTCTATAGCAGAGGTCCAGGCCATTGCCAGTATGATAGAAAAACAAGCTCAGATTGTGGTGAAGCAGAAAGAGGTGTCTGAGGAGTCCAAGAAAAGGAAAGAAGCCCTTCTCGCTCAATATGCTAATGTAACAGACGAAGAGGAATATCCTTGATTTATTGATTGAAAAAACAGTAAGTCTGCAGTCAGTTTGGCAATCATCCATATTTTTCACCATGCAAAGGAAATGAGGGAAAGTGTTTGTCTCATCCAGTGCAGTCATAACCCTTAAGATGTCAGTTCTTTCCTTGACTAAAGCACTGAAGCTGAAGAAGAGGAGCCAACAACTGGAAATATCACTGGAAATGATAAAAGTATCCTTTGTGCAGATATTTTACAATTGTATGTAACCAAGTCTAACCCAAAGAATGGATAATTGATACATAACCATGATGTGTACAGATTTTAGTTTTCTTCCACTTGTCCTTTACTCAAAGTGTCAGGCCTGTTCAAAAACACCAATGTGGAGCTGGTGCTGAACAGACAAAAGCAAAAGCGGGACCAGGCTCGCGAAGAAGCTCAAAAGAAGAAGGAAATGGACAAGATGCAGCGAGAGAAGGACAAACTAGCTAAACAGGACAGAAAAGAGAAGGAGAAGAAGCGTACACAGAAGGGTGAACGCAAAAGATAAAACCAAAAGAAAGGACACTTTGTAAAAAAAGATTTTTGCTACAATATTTTTAAAAAAAAAGTCTTTGGCTCTTTTTCAGCTGAACACCATCCACATCAGACCCTTGTTTGTTTCTCATGTGTGTGTGAATAAACTATATGTTAAGAATAAAAATAAATGTCTTTTGTTTTCAGAGTTAAACAGATGTTTTAAAAAAACAAAGCTGTATGTCAATGATGAACATGGTCAATCCCTTGTTAGTCAAATTTTCACTTAAGTCTGCCAAATATAGTTTTTCCAACAAATACATAGTATGCTTTGAGTTGGCTAAAAGTACATTTAACCTTAAATGATGAAATTATACTGCTGAACCTGAAATTGAACTAATCGTAAGGGGGGTGAAGAAACCCAAATAGTTTTAACTCAACAGTTGAGCCTGTTATCCTTTGCCACATCTTGCAAATGCCTTCATTTTTCAAAACATTTTTGATTAAAGGCATGTGCTGCTGTAATAACGCAATGTTTTTTTTAAGAACACAGCAGTTGTAAATGACCTCAAATATATTATGTACCATCATTCTGAATGTTTACGGTTCATCTTTTAAAATAAATTAAAAAAAAATAAAAAACACTTTTCAGCAAGGAAATTGCTTTATTTTTGCTTTTTTTCCCACTTCAAACAAGAAAAAAATCCAACAGAAACATTAAAATAGCAGGAATAGAACAACACTGCTCATTCACAAAGCACACGAGGGAAGAAATGACACAATATGTATTTCCTGAGAATTCTTTGTAATGCCTCAATGTTTTGGTCCCTTGCTGACAAACTGTCAATTCACTGATGTTTTTTAAATTGATTAATGCATTCAATTTTTTAGATGCTACACTTTAAAGCTTGACCATATTTTCGCTTAAGACTACATTTCACATAACAGAATTATGATTACAGTTAATAACAAATAATTAAAGTGTTAAATACTAAATGGAACATTTATCCAAAACTATTGACACTGATATGCAGCAAGTATTTGAACATTTCAGTGTTTTCAGAGTTTAACATCCCACCGATGTCTGTTAATACCATGTTTCTAGCTGGAAGTGTGATTAAAACTTAAAATCTATATTTTTTATTAGAAATTTACATTAGTGGCACCAAATTGCAGATAAAAACTTTTCCCATTGTAGAATTTTAAAGTTAAATATGAAAAACTGAAGCTGTTGAAATCAGTTGGAATATTTCAGAAAGCATTTTAATAATTAGCATGTTCATTTTAAGCTACTGCCCTTGAGAATCAATTATTGCTTGGGAATACCCAGAACTGAGGTTCCATTACATTCCAATAAATAAGTAAAACAATGAAGATTGACTGAAATCTTCTACATAAATAGTGCCTTTAAATACAACAGTGATGGTGCAAGATTTGTGTTGATTGCGTCTGACACTAATTGAATGAAATTAAGTTAAGATGCAGCAGGATAAAATATTTCATGCAATTCCTACACAACGAAAGAAGCTCTCTGAAACCAAATGATGAAGTCATCGCACTTTTAAATTGCTCATCTCATACTCTGCAGTGATCTTTGTGTTGCAGATAAAATGTGGTTTTGACTTTCAGTTAGGTAATACTACAATAACCTTTGTTTCATTGACCCTGCTAGCTATAGAACACTTAAAAGCAGGGCAATGTGGAGTGACTTTAATTTTATCTTCAACTCATACTTGTCGCTTGCTAAATTATAACCTAAAAGAGTATCTTTCAAATGAAGAAGGGCACTTCTCCTTGTTTGCGTCTTCCTTGATAATATGATGATCCTGGATGATGATGGGTTTTGGCAGTGTGATCTGGAGGGCACACCACAGAGCTGTGCAGAGCTTCCTAGTGGTAGCAGCTAGGTCCTTCAGAGCCACGACCACCAACAAGGTGTCTGTGAAAAAGAACACATTAGGACATGCAACATGGAACATGCATGGAACATGCATACAACATTGTCTACCACTACGTGGATTACCTCGGTCCTTTGTGAAATTAGGTCTCTGCCACTGGTGCTTGGTCATGTTCACAGCCTCCTCCTTACATCTTGCCTGTGTGACACAAATGGCCATATGATTCTTTTTCAGGGCTGTGTGGATGTTTGCTGGAAGGGGAACACCACATAGACACTCCATTTTCTCCAGAAGACTTGCCACCTGTAACACATCACAAAAAGATCAATTAAAAAAATAATAATAAAAGACCAATCCCAAGGAATGATGACATATCATGCATGAAAATAATACAAAATGTAAAAAAAAAAAAAAATATTGAAGTTGACTAGGTTTACAGTTAAAATGTCCAAAGGTCTTAAAACATTTCATTTCTTTTAATTTTGCTCTGACTATAGGCAATAGGTGAAAATACAATATATAGATAGATATGCATGTATATGATATGCATATTTAGACATAAAAACAGGCTGTTAGTAAAGTGTCTAAAGACACAATTTAAAATTGGTTATTTCCTAAGTTGTCTGCTCTATGTGGAAAGCCCCAGAGTTAGGGGGCTTTTTATCCTTGAATGATTCATAGATTAATGCTATAAGGCTTAACAAAACAAAATATTCCTCTAAAGAAATGATCATGTTAAAGCACTGGATTGGAAAGCATGTGTAAATGACTACTTTAATAGGCATTCATAAACCCTGGAGAAATACTGCTGAAAACCACTTTTTAAAAAAATTACAAGACAGTCTGGCTGCTTGGAAGAAAAACAAAAGAAATTGGTGGCTCAAGACTTTTGTATACTACTATAAGTTAGGTCATGTTAGTGTATTTGCCACTTATGGGGTTTTTGTTTGTTTGTGTAGTCTGAGCAATTGACACACTCCACAAAAAATGACCAAGGCCACAATTTAAACCCATCTATTATAAATACAATGTAAGGAAACAATTAAGATTAACTGTTTGCCTTACTGGGGCAGTATTTTATATGCATGTATGATTTTTAATTAGTGCCCCTGCTTAAAAAAAAAAAAAAAAATGTAGGAACTGAGTTGCCTGTAACTGTTAACAACTGGCAACTGCTGTGATAAAATTCCCTTGTAGGTGACAGTATATAAGCATTAAATTCAGGGCTCTCACCTTTGCTTGTTCTTTTATCTGATTAACAATGAGGTGGTCAACTCTTGTGGGATTTGGTGGAGTTTTGGGCAGGTTACTGTTGGTCACTGCTGGACTTCTTTTCTCAAGAAATGTTTTTGTAAGGATGACTTCTGTCTAAAATAGAAAATATACAAGAATATGACAACCTTAAACATTTTTAAAGGGTAGAATTTTTTTTTTTTTTTATAAATACCAACAAAATATTTTTGTACATCATAAGCTGCAAACAGATTTTTCTCAAGCTGATGCTAAATATTAGCAATAGAGAGATTCGGTTGTTTTATTGTACTTTTTATATTTTATATTTATTATTGCATTTTGCACCAAGGGAGTGGCACTCCAATTTCGTTGTACCTTGTACAATGACAATAAAGGCTATTCTATTCTATTCTGGACCCAAGGTGACTAAAAATACATTTACTAGTATAATTCAGTTGTATTGCACACACAAAAGCTGTATTTGTATCATGTTTCATCAGCTGAGCAAATGACCTCATTAACTTAATTTCTATAAAATAAACTTTTTTTATAACTTTAGATTGAAGAGGGCTTCTACTCCTAATATCCTCTAACACAAAATCAGGACTTGATGGCATACCCTTTTTCTCTCCTTCTCCAAACACCTCCACTGCTCATAACACTCATCCAGGTAGAAGTAAAGCTGAATCACTGGTCCTCCATGATTCCTTAACACTGAAGTTGTCATTGCTGAGGCCATTCCATGATAAGTACTGTCCCTTCTGTGGGTCCTCATGTCGCTGAGGTAGGAGTTGAAAGCTGCAGATTCATTAAGTGGAATCACATCATCTGCTTCCATGCCAGGAACACTACTTGCATAAGGCTGTGTGGATCTAGAGCTGAAGTTGGATTTGACAGGGATCCCCGAGTACCTCCTGGGGTCATTTACAGGATACATTAAGGGCATGAACTGCTGTACATTCCCTGCACTGACCATGCCGTTTTCACCATCAAATCTTTTATACTGCACAGTCTCCTGGAAGTCAAAGTATGGGTTTTGTGAAAGGAGCTGTGCTTCCCCCTCTCTCATGAAAGTGTTGAACTGGGGCCTCCTAGCAAAGCCCTCTCTTAGAAATCCATTTGCTTGCATTTTGCTTTTTTCTTTCTGAACCTGAGATTTTGTCTTATTCTGCAGCTGATGTTTTGAATACTGGTTTGTAGTTACATTTATGTTCTCTCTATGCACCATCTTTTTGGGGTATTGATTTGGGGGATTTAACAGTGTAGGGAATTGCTTTGGCTGTTGGACATACTCTGTGCTTTGAGGGTAGAAATTGGGTAGATCTTGAAAGCCATCCTTTTTGAATGTTTGTTTCTTCACTCTGTTTCTTTCTCTTTGCACTGTCCCCAATTCCCCCATCAGCTGTTTTGGAATCTGATTTCCAGGAGAATTCTGTCTTGACATTGTAGGACTGGTTATTTTCCATTGTTCAGCCACGTTGTCTTCATGGTCCATGCCCACTATCTGCTTATGCATGTTTCCCAGGTCTCCACAATACACACCATCATTCCCATGTGTCATTAATGACTGAAAGCTGCTGACCAGATGGTTAATGTGTTCTGGTACATACTGCCCATTACCATTTGGCTTTATGCTGTTCTGGATGTAGTTATCTTCATAGAAAGATTCAAAACAGGGTGTGTTGTTTTCACTTTGAGGTCTAAAAATGTCACTGATGTCAGGAAAATTATTAAAAGGCTGACCATTGACTCCTTTATTATAAGATGGCATGTTGACATGTTTGTTCTGCTGCATCTGTGATGTATAGCTGCTTCCAGCATTTGGTACTGGTAGACCTGGTGGCAGCTTTTGGGGATGGGGTAGGTAGCTCTCTCCATTAAAAAGCCACTGTCGATTAGAAACAAGGCCATTCGACTGTTGCATTAGCTCACCAACATCTTTGTCTCCTGACCGATGCTGTGCTTTACTGAAACTTTCCTGAGATACATAGTTTGGAGTAAAGGAAGGGTTATGCTGCAGTTTTGCCTCAGATTCTAAATACTGTAGCAGTTCTTCACTCAATGTCTTTGGAGACCAGATGGGATTGCATGTAGGTAGGGTCCTAAAAGAGGAATTGAGGAATTCCTTTAGTGACAGTAATCACAAACTATTTTAAGCAGGTAAAACTTTCACATATCTTATTCTGTTGATTATTACGTTTTACAATGCACACTGTAGCATGAAGTAAACTACTACATGCATCACAATAATGACATACCCTTCACTGTAGAAGCTATCCTGTGAATCTGCATCATCCAAAATATTTGACACTAGACCCTGTAGATCACTCTCACCACCATAATCAGCATTTTCAGGGGGTTTCCTTAAAGTAACAGAAAATAAATTCTTAGGAAATAACAAATAGCCGTTTTGATTGAACAAGCATTGCTGCATAGCAATGAAACTGCTTACAACTTCATTTAGGTGAATACCTGCTTTTAATGCTGGGCTGGGCACATCTAATGAGTTCATAAGGATCATCCTGAGTAGAATAAGACCAGGGCATATAGGATGCAGTGTCCTGTTCCTGCTGTGACGCACTGGGGATGGAAATGAAGGGTATTGCTACCGTACTGCCATTTCCACCTCCCGCATTAACACCCACCTGAAATAAAGAAAATCCAATCTCATATAAGGCAAACTAATGCAAATTACAACACTTAAGCTAAAACTTTCACAGACAATTTTAACTCTGTAAAAATACGGAATTGAAATTATTTCAAATAATTACATTTGAAATGATAATGTTAATTTATTTGCCAGTTTTTGAACTAAAATATATTGGCAAAAGCCTAGCAGCTTTTTCAGTGGGTGTTGGAGTGAGAGGGTCGCCTCTCGTTTCCAATCCTGTTCTTGAGTTTCATCAACAGGATATCAAAGCATAGCCAGGCGGGGGGGGGGGGTGTCACTCACTTTGAGAATCTCATACTATACCACAGAGGATTTTTGCAAGGTCAAAGCGTGACCTCCCGCGTACACTGGAGCAGTTTGCAGCCAAGCATGAAATGGCTGCAATGAGAATCACCACCTCCAAATCTGAGGCCATGGTTCTCTGCTGGAAAACGGTGGTATGCTCCCTCTGTGTTGGGGGAGAGAGACTGCCTTAAGCAAGGTTCAAGAAGCAAGTATCTCGGGATCTTATCCACAAGTGATGGGAAGACAGAGTGCAAGTTGGACCAGCAGTGTGGCATTAGCAGTACTGGACTGCCTAATGAACAAAGAGCTTTTGATTTACCAATCTATCAATATCCCAACCTTCACCTAGGATCAGGTAATCTGGATATTGACCAAAAAAGTGAGGTCATGAATACAAACAGAAGAAATTAGTTTCTTCCATATGGTGGCTGGGCTCAGACTTAAAAGACAAGTTAAGAAGCTCAGACGTCCAAAGGAATTCCTGGAGTAGATCCCCTGCTCCTGCATGTCAAAAGGACCCAGTTAAGGTGGTTGGGATGTGTAACAGAAGGTTTACAAGTACATCCAACTGGGAAGAAACCCCAGGGTAGACCTATTTATTTGACAATTTTAAAACATCTCTATGCGATACAAGGAACTTAAAAAAGAAAGAAAGAAAAACTTCCAAGAATTGCAAGCACAACTTTAGAGATCATAATTAAAACATTGTTTCATTCCTTCGTGTGGTTCTAATCTGAACTAAAAAAAAAAAAAAAAAAAAAAAAAAAAAAAAAACCTTTGGGATGAACTGCATTTTTTCCTTTGTCCCATAACCCAAGTTAACCAATATGGTTAACTATGGAGGGGAAAAAATGATCATCAGTGAGTTGGCCTATCATAAACTCTTAAGAAATGGAGATATTTCAAATATGCAAAGTACCTTAGCCTAAATTACTGTTTATTCCTGCTTACCTGACGTTGATAGCTGTGGAAGAGTGAATTTGCAAATGCGCTCTGACGTCCATCAAACGCCATTCTGAACTCCCCTTTGGTTCTTCAGTACTCGGTTACAGCTCTGGCAATGTACAAAGAACGAAACATTTTTATAAAGATTTGCATAGTAAATTAAGACATTTGACAGATATGGAAAATACATTAGCAAACTACTTTTTCGAGAAAAGGCAACTTTTCAGCTAGCCAACTTAGCAAACTTAACTAGCCGTTTATGTAACTGGACAAGCTAGCAAACTTTGATGATGACTTTGCTAATTTAACCCGTAGCTTTAGCCTAACGCTTTTACCAGTAAATTTTTTCTAATTTTATTTTATTTTTTAACTTTTTGGTCAGCAAAATGTACCGTTTAAAGTTACCTACCCGCATTTAGTCAAACAAGGCGAACTTAAGGAGTTTCAACAGTTTTCTCGACAATCATCGCCTTAATCCCTCTCGTGCCGTCCTCAAGTCCACCCAGGAGATGTTCGATGTTGCCCTCGCGACCTGAAAGCACATTGGCTGAGGCTGAGGGATTATACTTTTACTCCAATTAACATCAAGCAGAAAACAAAGGGGCATAGCAACATGTAGCGGCATCCCCTCCCCCATAATTTATACCATGGTGTGGCATGGCAGGTGCTAACATAAAAAACACCTTACACAGAAACTGTGTATAAAGGCTATATAGGCTATGTTAAGCAGAACATGTAAATACTATCTTTATTATAATAATCATTTCTTCTAATATAAGTGGTAGTAGTCAGTTTTAGGTCTGCAGTTTGTTCATTAAATTAATTTTAAAATGAAGATATTATGATCTTAGTACATACAAACAAACTGAGTTACTGATGGACACTTGAAAGTGACACGAAACCCTTCTCCTATCTACATTTTAGTTTAAGGGGCGCTTGTAAAGTCTATTCTACCACACCACTCCAGCTGTGGAGTTAATTTCAAAGCGTCTCAAAATGCAACCAGTAGACAAGAAAGTGTTCCTTCAAAATAAGAGCATGCGCATTCTAGTGGGCCTAAACGGAACAGAACCGATTTTGGTCGACAAAAGAACCCCCAAATTTGTAATCCATGGGTGCAGGTTGTTCAGGTCAGATATTGAACCCTCTTAATCCATGCAAGAATGTGGGTCCGAGATAAAAAATAAAAAAACAAAAAAAAACACTATAATTTAGAATAAAAAGAACATTGTTAAAGTATTGTTAAAGTTGTTGAAGTAAAAGTACCCATCATGAAGTTCTTATTTTCTGCAAGGTTGTTGTTGATTTTCTGTCTTAATTGTGTATAACAATAAGCGATAACAATAAAGAAAATTAAAATGAACTTAAAATAAGACTCAGATTGTGCAAAAGAGCATATTACACATATCCCATAAATCATAGACACAGACAACAATGGGAATGTAGAATAACAAATAAGCCTGATAGAGAATCAGCCCTGCTGCCTCCACAGTGAAGAATGGAGTAGGTGAAATGGATTGTCCATGATAATAATACATGTGTTCAGTCACCCCTGTCACTTCCTGACTCAAATGTCTCCAGAGTCTCTGGCTCTGATGCCACAGATGCCATTGAAACTGCATAGATTGTCTGCCTTCAACCTTCAACCAAAGCTACGATTATGATTATGATGCTGATTGTTACTGATGATGGTGTTGGTGCGGGTGTTAGGCATTAAAGCAAAAATATCTGAGACTCGAGTATTTTCCTTCAAAATCATATTGGGATTTTATTTTGAAAGATTGTACCGGATGTTGTGGCGTATTTCTCACTAACGCTGGCCCGAAGGGAATTTGAGTATTTAGAAGAGAAAAAAGTCAGCCAGCAGTGTTTAAGCAGAGACTAAGCAACAAAGAGAGGAGCAACTTTGCCCCCCTATAGAGACTTACTGTTACTGGAGAACTGATAATACGAAGGAGCTCACTAGATAAATTTACAGCGACTTTATCAGGCTGTAGTTGATACTTAAACTTGGGAAGATGCGTTTTTGCAAAACTTTTTTTTTTGCGGTCCTGCTGCCCCTGCTGATATCAGCACAGTATCAAGGCGACAACGGAATAGTTGTCCCGGAACATGGATTTTGTCAGCCGATTTCGATACCTCTGTGCACGGACATTGCTTATAACCAAACCATCATGCCCAATTTAGTGGGTCATTCCAACCAGGAGGACGCAGGGCTCGAAGTGCACCAGTTTTACCCGCTCGTGAAGGTACAGTGCTCGCCAGAGTTGAAATTCTTCCTGTGTTCCATGTATGCGCCTGTTTGTACAGTTTTGGAAAAGGCCATTCCTCCATGCAGATCGATTTGTGAGAGGGCCAAGCAGGGCTGCGAGGCTCTTATGAACAAGTTTGGCTTTCAGTGGCCGGACCGATTGCGCTGCGAAAACTTCCCTGTGCTGGGAGATGGACAAATCTGCGTGGGCCAAAATGACTCCTCCACTGCCACCGTCCCTCCGATTATATCTGTTCCAGGAACGTCGGATGTCTCCATAATCCCCCCACGTGGAAGGCCATTCCATTGCCCGTCTGTTCTTAAAGTTCCCCCATATTTGAATTATAAATTTTTAGAAGAGAAGGACTGTGCCGCTCCCTGTGAGTCATCTAGGAGCGGTGGGAAAATGTTTTTCAGTGATAAAGAAATTCATTTCTCGCGCATATGGATTCTAGTTTGGTCTGTGCTTTGTTGTGCATCTACGTTATTCACAGTAACCACTTATTTAGTTGACATGCAACGCTTCAGATACCCAGAGCGGCCCATCATCTTCTTGTCTGGCTGTTACACTATGGTCTCCATTGCCTACATAGCAGGCTTCTTCCTCGGTGATAGGGTGGCGTGCAATGACAGCTTCACCCCTGATGGCTATAAGACCATAGTCCAAGGCACCAAAAAAGAAGGCTGTACTATCCTCTTCATGATGCTCTATTTCTTCAGCATGGCCAGCTCCATATGGTGGGTCATTCTATCGCTCACCTGGTTCCTGGCTGCAGGTATGAAATGGGGCCACGAGGCCATTGAAGCTAACTCTCAGTATTTTCACCTGGCAGCCTGGGCAGTGCCAGCTGTCAAGACCATTAGCATCCTGGCCATTGGGCAGATTGAAGGTGATGTGCTCAGCGGAGTCTGCTTTGTGAGTCTCAGCAACCTGGATCCTCTGCGGGGCTTTGTTTTGGCCCCTCTCTTCATTTATCTTTTCATCGGCACCTCTTTCTTGCTGGCTGGCTTTGTGTCACTGTTCAGAATCCGCACCATCATGAAACACGATGGCACCAAGACGGAGAAGCTGGAGCGATTAATGGTACGGATCGGGGTGTTCAGCGTGCTCTACACGGTACCTGCCACCATTGTTATTGCATGCTTCTTCTATGAGCAGGCCTTTCGGCCCCACTGGGAGCACAGCTGGGTCAGCCACAACTGCAGGAGCCTGGCCATTCCCTGCCCTATGCATCCTGGACCCCACATGACACCAGACTTCACCGTCTTCATGATCAAATATCTGATGACTCTGATAGTGGGCATCACCTCTGGTTTCTGGATCTGGTCTGGAAAGACTCTGAACTCCTGGCATAAGTTTTACACAAGGCTGACAAATGGCAAACACGGAGAGACCACTGTGTAGAGTGAAAGCACATGAGTGTTGCTGGGATTATTATTTGTTTTATTATCTATACCTCATGTCATAGGTAAGTAGCACAGTGAGTAGCTGTAGCATTTGTGTTTGCCTCAGCTTTCTAGTCCCACTTGCATGCCAAACTGAGGGTTGGATTTTGAGAAAAACACAAGCTGGATAAACACAGACTGAACCTGACTGTGTGAACAAATAACAATCATGGCTATGGATGCCATGTGCTGATTGCTCTCCTCACCTTCTCTGGTTCCTTTCTTAAAGCCTCCATAAACTCTGGGGAGTGATGATCCAGCAGACAATAGAACACAGACTGAATGACTGATTTGAATTTTTTTGAACTCTTGCAAAAACATTTCATGTACAGTTTTACAAAATTGTAAATAGTATTTGTAAAAACACAACATTATATTATTGTATTTAAAAAGTAAATACTTTACCTTATCTGCTAGTGTACTCAAACTAAGTAATTTTGCACTGTATGAATGCCACAAGCCCAGACAAAGACATGCCTGTTTTTTGTTCTTTTTGCGTTTTCTTTTCTGTTAATTTGTGATTATAGATTATAACATTGTGTTGTTATCCTTAATTTACGGAAAACATGTGCAGAGTCTCTGCAGAATTTACAGATATCAACTCATGACTATGAATTTTGAACTTGTGGTTAGACAGGAACATCATGCTTTGTGTGAGGTTTTTTTTCTCATCTTTCTGCTCTTATATGTGTTCAGTATTGTTTTAACAATTAAACCCTGTTGTTAACGTGTGATTTTCTTTAATTCAAGCACAGCCACATTGTTTTCTCAAGGGGTGAGGGTTGTATCACACCTGAACATCTGTTGCCTCAGACTGACGGGCAACAGTTAAAGTGATTATTGAACACAGAATTATCCCCCAGGGAAATACAAGGAATCCACGTACGTTGAGCCTGTCAGTATAAACACAATTCGCCTGTTAATCACTTACTCTGTCAGTAAATTGTAAAATATTGAACATCTGGGGAGGGGGGGGGGGGTTGTGCCTAAGCAACTAATGCCACCATGTAAGAATGCAGCAGGGAACATCTTCACACATGTACATTAACATTGCTGAACAACAACAAGAAACTTTTTTTTCTTGCCTGTTGTGTAAACTAATGGGAATCTTCTGGCAAGCCAAGCCTGTGCTGTTGCATAGGTGTGAAAATGTTCCCGCTTGTGCGGTCGGTGAAGGCGGAAGAAAAATATTCATTTGCTGTTGTTACTTCTCTGGACTCTCTGTGTATTGTAGCAAGTTGGAATCCCCCAAGCTGCTTATGGCTGAAACTCAATCGTCTCTGCAGTGATGTCATGAAGTAGATGGATGTGTAAGAGAAAGCTGATCCCTGTGCCTCAGAGCAGAAGCTCTTGGCTAGAGGCATGCATATAGTGTATGCATATAGTATATACTGTTAGTGAGTGAGTGAGTTAGTCTGCACCTCTCTGGATAATATTCTAATTTGAGTTACCTTTTCGACTTATATCACGACCAATGGGTTGTTATATTTATTTGATGTTTGTCTTTTTTATATCCTCACCAAGGGTTTAATAAAGACGGGTTGTAATAACAGATGGGTAAGAGTGATTAAAGGTAAGAACAGAGACTCTAAGGGGGGAAAACCATAAATCTACCTGCCTCCTCTATTCTGCCCTTTTACACCCTCTATGTCTCCACCCTCCCTGCCTCTCTCCGCTCAGATGAATGGGGGGAATGTGAGTGAGTCAGTGGAGCAGTGCTGGGCCTTTGCCTAGTGACAGACAGTCTCCTGTGCTGCTCACTTCAAAGTGCCGCTGAAACCTGACAAGCTTCATGTAAACAGTACTGCCTGGCCCGAAGGCCCACTTCCTGCGCTATACTCAGCTTAATGGCTGGCTTGTTTGGCTTTGCACTGAAGCAGAGAAACGAATGAAGTGTGAGAGAATGAAGAGAGGCGGTATGTGGGTGGGGTCCCAGTGGTGAAGAGAGTGAGATTGTTTTAGGATTTAGGGGAGGAGGGATTTGGAGAGCCTGATGGAAAATTCAGAATTATTTGCTTTTGTCTTGCAGAGAGAGAAAAAAAAAAACAAAGAGAGAAAGAAAATGAGAATCCAAATGAGGAGAGACATAATTGTGATTTGGCAAATATTCTGAGAACAAAAACCTTTGATCGCAAACCATCAAAACTAAATAGAATCAGATGCTGCTCCTAGTAACTTGTCCCACAAAAATAAATTGTAAAATATACTCTGTGAGTAAGTCTTTAATGTTTTCTATGCCCAGTGACCTATCTGGGGTAGTTCAATACAGATTCTACTTGGTGAACTTCACAATCTCTATCCATGGAGAGAACAGTTTAAAAATGTGAAGCATTAGTTGGAGTTTTATGCCTAAAACTTTAACTTTATGCATAAAACTGTTAATATTATCTACGCAAGCGCTGGTAACTATCCAGAGTAAATTCGGCTCTTTAATGTTGTTTCCACGTTTCTCGGAAGCTGCAGTCTCATGTTGTTGGTCTCTGATCTTAAATCTTGCATGCAGTTGGTTCCAGCTTGCTTGGGGGCAAGAAGGGACAAGTCAAGGATCATGAAGACAGGAAGAATGTTTCTAGAGTTGATATTATGGTGTCGCTCCTATTAGACGAAGGTCTAGGCATGTCGGAAAAGGATCGTGTTGTTAGTCAGTGTTCTCACAGGTTCTGTAGATCCATCTTTTGAGCATGCTCTAATGTACTATGAACATTTTCTTAGCTTGTAACTTTTTATCCAGCCTGTGAAAGTGCTTCAACCAGACAAAGGACTAAGAAAAAGAGGAAAATGGTTAGAAAAAAAGGAAAGGAAGAAAAAGGGATCCAGACATGTAGTAAGCCTGTTTCTAATCAAATCTTGGCACAAAATCAAGAAGGAACCCATGCTCAGAAGGCTGGATTAGTTGCAGTCATACATTATCCTAACCATAGGAGAGTAGCTGAGGTTTTCCAGAGCACATACTCTATCTATTTGTCTTATATTGCCTTGAAGTCTCAAGAGGACATGCCATATGTTCTTTCTCCTCATGCCATTTGCTTTCAGAGTGGAATCAAGTGTAACAAATTGGCAGAAATATGATGGTTTAAATGTGTATTTCAGCTTCTGACTTTGATTCAGGGCTTCCAGCCATAAAGGGTCACCGTAAAGAGGTGTCTTTCTTTTGGTCGTCTTTAAAATCATTTTCTAATTGCTGACTTTTTTCCCCCTCATTGTTACCTCACAAGCCATGATATTTGAAGAACTACATTACTTAGTACAAATAACTTTGCTGATTTAAAAAAAAGTAATTTAAAATATCCATTTACTTTAATATTAATATGGTTATTACACCACCCACAACCATGGATTGAAAAGTGAAAGGCTGTGGCACCCACGATGTGGGACGGAGAGATTTTGCCGGTCTTTCCTCCCTACTGCTGTTAGACTCTACAACATGGTCTCTGCAGAGGACCACACACAAAAATCTCATACACATTTGTAACTCTCACCCTGTTTCCTGGATGTGCAATTTTCCCTATGTAACAAAGTATTTTATTCTATTTGTATAGTACTTATCCTACTGTATATAGTGTTCTTTCTATTTTGTATAGTATGTTATTCTGTTTATCTTATTCTATTATGTTATTTTTCTCTTAATTTTTTACTGCTCTTGTACTTCTGCCGTGACCAAAAATTTCCCATGTGTGGAACTAATAAAGGTTTCTTTTATCTCATCAGTGAAAGGAGATGATAATGGGGTCTGTAGGCATACATCATTTCTAACAAGATGTCCAGCTCTTCTTATTAGCGATCACTACACTTTGTTGGTTTCCAAATCGCATTGATTTGGTGAACACAGTTAAAACTAGAAAGTGTACCCGCCTTTACTTTCTCGTTGGCTGATTTTTATTGACATGTATCTATGTGCTATTGTATGCTCATAAGCGCACAGACAGTGCAAAGGTGGCTTTGACAAGAATTCAAACATAAACTGTTGACACTGACACTGGGATGTTGGGGGAGTTTATTTAGTCCCCTGCCTTCAAGGACAAGGGTGCAGAATCAGTGTAGAAAGTAGGGGAGTGGCTCAGAGCCTTTCCAGCTGCCGAGCAGAGAGGTGCCGACAGCTGCATGACTGATATTTTGGGAGCCTGCAGTAGGCCTGGGATAATAATGGTCTTGATTGGGAGGAGTGTGTTTGAAGTAAAAGGATTGGTTAATGTGCATCTAGACACCACACTGTGTACACAACCATGTCTCTCTCATAAACTGTCAGAATGATGGTACAAGTAGCAAATGATAACACACACAGTGTTAGGGACTAAAGCACAACTTTTTCTGCTACTGTGTTGTGTTTTTTTTTCCACAGCTGAACATATTTATTTTTGTAAAGTTGCAAATTTCAATGTTATGGAGACTATGAATGTACTCACAATGTATGCACACGATAAAGCCCAAAAATATAAATTTGTGTTACAAAACTTGTGGTCCTGTCGCCAGGCAGACAGCTTTACACAGATATAGACAGGGCCCACACCACTTAGAGCTTTAAAAACCAACAATAAAATCTGAACATCAAATCTAAAACTAACAGGTAACTACTGAAATCGTGCAAAGGACTGGTGTAATGTGGTCGCTCCTTTTGTGTTAAAAGCCGTTGGAGCATCATTCAGAGTTGACTGCAGTCTGTGTATGGTATGGTAACTGATGCCTGAGTAAAGTGCGTTGCAGTAATCAATTCTAGAAGAAATAAGATCACGAGTGACCTTCTTTAAATAGGACTGCAACAGGAATGGTACAATTTTTGATTTCTGTCAAAACTGAATGAAACAGGACATCATGATATGTCATCATCAACATCATATCTTCAAATTGCAAGCCTCTTTGCAAATATTTTCGAGACATTGACCAGAGCTATGGGAGGAAGGTGCAGTTATGATTGTTTCATTTTTTTTTAGTCATTCAGCTTAAGGAAGTTTTTAGACGTCCAGATTCTAACTTCTTCTACACAAGACCTAATGTATAAGTTATCAATAGTACCAGGTTGAAACATAGAGTTGTGGATTGTTTGCATAGCAATGAAAATCTATACTGTGTTTCTGAAGCATTCGTCCAACCAGAAGTATGTAGGTTGTTTAAAAAATGGAGGATCAAAGACAGATCCCTGGGGGACTCTGTAAGAAAATAGTGCATCAAAAGAAGAGGCATCACTGATCCTTACGGAGAATGACCTGCTAGAAAGATATGAAATGAACCAATCCAGCGCTAGATCACTGATGCCAACAGTTTTTTCAAATGGCTCACTAACATATTGTGATCTGCAGTATCAAAAGCTCAGATAAAATCAAGCAGAATTAAGACACAACCAGCCCAGAGTCAGATGTGAGCAGCAGATTATTAGAGACCTTGACAAGAGCTGTTATCATGTAAGTGAAGCCCAGACTGAATATATAATATATATAAGATAAAAGTGGCAGTTTGAACCCATCAAGTTTTAAATGATTGAGTCTGGCCCAGAAAGTGTCAAAGGTGCTGATAAAACCAAGTCCAGCGGCAGAAGGAAAACTCTTCATCCAGCTATGCAAGTAAAAGAGGTGACTAAAGAGTTCAGAGCCTCTAGTTATGACAGAAATGGTGCCAGACAAAACACACATCCTTCCCAAGCTTTCTATGGCAGTGGTTAAAGACTCTAGATCATGCTGACAGAGATAATCAAGACAAGAAGTCATTTAATTTAATAGAGCTCAGTCTTTAGAGAGAGGAGAGAGCTCTGGGAGTGGGTATTTTTATGTCACTTCCTTTGCTTCCATGGAGTCAGCCATTTTTTTGGATGCTGCGACAGCCAGCCAAACAGTATTATAGAGACCTCCAGCATGCACTATTGCCTCGTTATTTATTTATTTTTCTATTTTAAAAGCTCTTATCTGTTTCACACACAGATAAATATCAACGTTTCTGTGCTAGAAAGTTCTCTGTGCCTTAAAACCACAAGTGATACACATTTACAGACCGCTTCCCATAGCAGCAGTTCACAGGGTATCACCAAGAAGTGGGTTTAAAAGTAAAAGAGATTAAAGATTCTTCAAATTGATATCCTTCAAATTCATTAGAAGTTGAGCGAGCTCTGCAGTACGGGCCCCTGGAAAAAAATCACTACGACTATCAAACCATGCTGATGTGATGTTATAGCTTTGTTACTCTGAAAAGATGACGTCACTTGAAAAAGTGTGCTTTCAACATCTCTCTGGAACACAGGCTTTTCACTATGTTAGTGTCACAGGACAAGCCTCTAGTCTGACACAGCGCTCACCTATCTTGTTATGAATGTAAAGATGCTGCTAGATACTCTGGAATGAACTTTTAGTGTCAACTCCATACTTACAATTTCACTGTATTAATTATCTTATTTTGGAACTGCTATCCGATCAGTCTTCTCACCTCTTATAGTTTAAGAATAGAGCAATCACAAATATGACTTGTTCTTTTTTGGTATTTAAGCTTCTTTTTGTTCCATGTCTTGCAAAAACACTTGAGGCAGTTTAGTCCTATTCAGCAGGGGGCTACGGTGAGTCTAAAAAGCCACACAATGCAACAGCTGTTGAAGTAATCGCAGCTTTTAATTGACAGGTCAATTAACCCCCTACAGATAATTCACAAGGCAGCAAAATCACTCTTATTGACCCATTAATGAAACATGGCAGCACTCTGAGCACCTGCATCTAAAGATAAACTAAATTTATTGAAGAGAATGAGATGGCAATACTCTAATCTAATCTGTTACTCTCTCATGAGCCTCAGTAGGGCCTCAGGCTTCAATGACGACTTCTTGAGTCGGCTCCTCTCTGGCGAGTGCCGCCCCCCTTATTTTAATGGAGGCCCTCCTAACAACTCTTTCTGAGGAATTTACAGCCTTGGCCGATTCTCACTCCAGCCCAGGGCTGGGAAGGTGGGGTGGAAGTCATGCTGTGGCCTTGTACCAAAAGCGCCAGCAATGGAAATGTAAAGGCAGGGTGGCAGCAGAGCTTGAACATGAATGTTTCTGTGCTACTTAACTCAAAAATCAGCCACACAGGGGTCCACGTGTATTTAATACATCAATGATAGAAAAGAAATACATGAAATAACATCGATGTCCACCTTAAGTCTCCAAGAACTGTAAGGGTAAATGCTAAGATACAAAAAACCAAAAAGATTGCAATTTAGACCCTCTCCAGTATACAGCTTTTGATGCCAGTCAGTCCAATATGTGAAAAGGAAGGGATACTTTTAAACCTTAAAGCACAAAACAAGCATATTTTGAGCCTCACAGCTGAAGTTAATTCTTTCACTGTACATGTGTTCACTATTGTGCTTGTGAATATGTGAGTAAATCTGTGTGAATGAGTGGCTGTTGGAAGGCTCCAGTTCTGTAGGTTCTCTCTGTAATTTCACTCTCTGCTCAGCATAATCACTTCCATGTGGGCCCTCTCCAACAACAGAGTGTTGAAGGGGCCCGTTGCAAAGGTGGGAGTGAAACGCAGACACATATGGGCTCACAAATGTTTTCACACATAAGATTGTCAAGTCCCGTCTCACCGAAGTGTCAGACAGCAGAGAAGATTTGGCCTCCATTTGCTTGAGCGTCGCTGTAGTTATTTGTGGTGTAAGTTGTTCGTATATAAACAGATACAGAAAATAGATATTTTTTTCTTTGACATATAAAACCACAAATGCTGGGTGTCTCAGACCAACTCAGATAAAATCTTAGTATTCCAGTCTTTCAATTTGTGAAATTGCAGGAAGTCATTTGCCAGTTTATGCTCATTAGCAATTTTCTTTAGCGGTATTAAGAAATTTTGTGGTTTTCTTTTGCATCCTGTTAGTTTTTTGTGGTGGCTTCTGCCACACAAGTTAAATCATTGTCCAGGAATGCCCTGAGGGCTGCTGAGGACCACTCATGGACAATGTGTGAAACCAACAGAGCGGAAAACAACAGGGCCTTCTGCACAGCAGGGTCAGCATGTAAGGATACCTCTGCTCAACATATTTCCTGTGGAGATTATTGTTATGTGCAAAAACTCCTGCTAGGAGACCAAATATTTTAGGGTACATGTCAAAATATGTAAAGAGTAAAAATACTCCTGATATCACAAGATTAAACCCTTTTATTTAGTGATTGGTTCATGGATAATTTTATAAATTTTTGGTGAATACCACCCCCTGCTGTTCATACACTGCTACAAAACAGAAGTCAAAATTAACCAACAGTTAAAACATGATGAAATTGTCTATCTGCAGCAAATTAGACAGCCATTTAGTGCCCTGTTAATTTGACCAACCATCTCAGCCATGGGCAAAAAATGAAAATCAATAAAATTTTAAAAGATAATTTATTAGTACAGTGATCATAAAAAAAACAAAGACATAAAACAGTGCTATGACCCACTTACAAAAAGGGATAAAACACACAGTCCAAGGCCAGGACCAGCGATGCCACAAGTCAGTTACACTTCACACGCCAACAACTTTAACAGGGAACAGCAGTTTTTCTACAAGACCCACCACCCTGTAAGTAGTAGGCTGGCAATCAACCCGGCCTCAGCAAGCCAACTCTGCCTTTAGGCTAGGGCGTATAGTAGGCCTTGGCCTGCACACAGAGAAAAAATGTACTCAATTGCATCTTAATTGTATAATTCAGACGGCAGCAGACCAGAGTGTGAGTTTAATCAAATACACCTGCCTTAAATGAGCACAACCCAATCATAGCCACTGGCTCACAACAACTGTGACACACAAAACCACTCTCAAACTAGGCCCATTTCCCACAGCAAATATAGACGTGAGGTAATATAAGCAATAGTCCACTATGTTACAGCCCACTGGGAGAGAAGAATAGAAAAATAAAATGTCCATCTGAAGAAGTACCACCACACAGTCAGTTACATGAATATTTAGACAATGACATTTTTTTTGTTTGAGTATTGTAATTGGACACTGGGCTGATGAACAGTTTGATGGCCAGGTGAGGCACATTCCCTCATTATTCAAAGACAAATTAAATGGATAAATGATCTGGAGTTGATTCCAAATATTGGACTTGCATTTGATATCTTTTAACTGGAATGTTCAATATAAGGTTTAGAGAAATGCTGATGCAACAACAACAACAACAACAACAACAACAACAACAAAAAAGCCAAATAAACCTATCAGAGAGACAGCAAAAAGCAGCAAAAAGCAAACCCCACAGCATGGAAAACTGCGGGCAGATTGACGCACAAATAAGCAGAAACTGCAGGTGGCTGCAGTAAAGGCCTCGCTGAGCATCTCAAAGGAAAAAACGTATTTGGTGATGTCCATGGATTTTAAACTTCAGGTAGTCATTGACTCCAGATCAGTTTCAATCAGTTACGAAAACCAGTCCTTATAGTTAATTCTCCAATTACATTTAAGCCTCTAACAAGGGTGGGGAGGGTATGAAAATGGCTTTAATTCATAACAAGTTAATGCAGTGTTAAAACTCTAAAGATGAAAGACTCTGTGGTTTAAAATCAACTATGGTGAATTGTGTCAGTGTGCAAATCCTCATATGGATCTGACTGTGTACTTACATGTAAGGTCAACTAATAATAGCAACGCCGACAATTCAAAACGGAAGCTTGTAGTGCTTGAGGAAATGTAGTCCACCTCTAGATGGCGCCAGTGTTCTCATTCAGTCAAAAGGATGGCGAAAGGAAGTGGCATCTGTTAGTAGCAATGACTGTAGAAAACACAACAGCAAAGAGGTGTTAACAGCTGAGCATGACTTTCCGAGTTTCTCTAGAAGACGGTTGGGTTATTATTTATTAATTCTTTAAATGCGTTTCCGGGCTTTGGCAAGTCAAAGGAAGATACAAGTAACCCCATACATGCCGCCAATATGCCGAGCTTTGCTGGAAGAGTGAGCTACTACTGCTAGACATGATGACTTTGAATCAGCTGAAGACAGAAGATGTTAAAATCAGGTGATGTAGGTTCGGGTATTTTTCAGTCAAGTCTGTTATTAGAATCCAAAGAAAATGTCTTGGATTTTTCATTTTATGGTGAGCGGATGATATGGCTGACCAGGTCAACTTAAACTTAAAAATACAGCCTAATTCTCTGTATGATAGTCAATAATAATAACAATAATAATAATAATTATAAAAAGATTAAACAAATGTAAGAAAACAAAGTATAGAAAGTTTATGATGGAGTGCCAAGAGAGGAACTGTGGTACTCTACTATATGAGGAAGTCAGGGGTGACAGAGAAGTACTGTAGTTGAGGGTGGTGCGGATCTGCTTAATGACATATTGGTGAGGTGTGCATTTCATGATAAAATAGTTTAAGGGCATGCGATTACATCAGTGGTTGGTTCTTAGCCCCTGCTTGTTTGTAATGCTATATGGATAGATAGGATAACAGATGGGTCTCGTTGGACAGATGACACTGTAATCAGTAGTGAGAGTAGGGAGCAGGTGAAAGACAGCCTGAGATGTTGGACATAGTGGAGGTAGATCAGAATCAGAAGACTTTATTTATCCCCAAGGGGCAATTAACAAACAACAGAGCAGCATAACATTGAAGATAAGGACAATAAGAACAGGCAATAAGAGTGAAATAATAAATACACAGAATATACAGTATATACAGTTTTAAAATTAAACTGACTGAAAAGTGAATAAAGTGTTGGTAGTAGAAGAGGGTAGTTTATGTTTCTGGTGTGGGAAATGATCTTATCGGCTGGAGTTAAAAAGCAGAGTGGCTTTGGGGACAAATGTGGCTCTGCTCCTCTCAGTCCTGCAGGAAATGCAGCAGTGGTGTCGCCCAGAGGGGAGCCATTGAAATGCGGGTGAAGAATGTGAGAGATTTTGGCTTCCTGTCTAAGGGCCTGTTGGCTGAAAACCTGTGCCAGAGTTCTGACAGGCAGGCCAATGATTTTAGAGCACACTGATGCAGTGTGCTGCAGTCTGTTCTTGTTCTGAAGGCTGAGGAAGTGAGTTTAAAGAATTTAAAGCAAGTGAGGTGAACAAAGGCAGTTTAAGTCGTTGGAGATGAGTGTCTTGGGTCATTTGTGACAGAAGGATAGCAGCAGGAGTAAAAGGGAAGGTTTTTAAGATGCTAGTGAGACCTACTGTGATGTATGGTTTTGAGATGGTGGCACTGACAAAAAAAAATATAGGAGACTGGAGGTAGCAGAGTTGAATTTACAAAGATTTTGGTTGGGAGTATCCAGAATGCACAAGATTAGAAATGAGTACTTTACAGGAACAACTCAGGTTGAGCAGTTTGGAGACAGAAGATAGTGAGGCAAGGCTGAGATGGTCTGGGCATGTACTGTGGAGGCATCGTAGACATATATTGGGCTATTTATGTTATAAATGGTGCTGCCAGGCAGGAGGAAAAGAGGAATATCATAGAGAATATTCATGGACATAGTGATGGAGCTCGGTGAGCTGATGTGGAGAAGCCTGGAGGGGGCAGCAGAAAGTAGAAGATAAGAAAATAAATAAAGGTTAGGTTCCAGATTTGGGAAACTCTTCTTTTCCCTTAATTTTTACACAAATAGTTGGCATCTACAGAGCACCCCCTGGTGCTCCTCCTTACCATTATTTATATAGCAACTGCTGCAGAATTATGTATTTCTGTAGTGATCTGGAGTTGTAATGAAAGCCAAGGTGTGGATGTGTTTACTGTAGATTCTTCCTTGGTAGCAGCTTCCTTGGTTGAAAAGTGACTTGAGTAGTGTTAAATGCACTTGAGAAAGCAAAGAATGTAAAACAATATCATCTATTGAAATCATAATGTTATATTCTAGGTCTTTTGTTCACTAGGTGATTTAAAAATGCTATATGATGATTCAGCAATAAAGCATAAAATAGAAGCATGAAAATTAGCCATTGAGGAACTTGTGTAAATGAAAAGGATCTAAACTTCATCGGATTGATCCAGTGGGTTTTCCTATCTTACATTCTTTTTCTGACGCTATGCTTCGTGTGAAAAGAAGCCTTTGTTTACTTTTTCATTTTAAATTATGAGGCCAAGGTTTTCTTCTCACCGGCAATGCACCCGTTTCACTTTTTTTAAGCATGTCAAAGATTTTCATCTGTAGATGCAATCGTTTTGACTGTGCTGTGACTATCTCCACTTTTCATCTTTGTCTGTCTTACGTAAGTCTTAGTCCGAGGAGGTGAGCGGGGCTTCTCCGTGCACAACAAGAGCTGTATGCATCAACTTAACATATACCCATAATATCCAGTCTATGTAATATACAGATCCAATAGTAGGACAGTCAATGAGAAAATGTTTAGAGATGTCTGAAGCCCAAGATCTGGGGTTCTAGGTATCATTTGTACATACAATGACCTCAATTTATTTATTTATTTTAAAAAGGTAAATGGTAAAAGGTAAATGGCCTGTATTTATATAGCGCTTTACTAGTCCCTAAGGACCCCAAAGCGCTTTACATATCCAGTCATCCACCCATTCACACACACATTCACACACTGGTGATGGCAAGCTACATTGTAGCCACAGCCACCCTGGGGCGCACTGACAGAGGCGCCCCAGGTCCCTAATAAATTATGTTACTTGCATTGACTTGCATTGGCACGAGCGAAGACACTGTGAGACAAATGCAGCATAATCATTCTGTTTCCTTTTTAATGAGCAGCCCTGTAGCTAGAGAGTTTGTGCCAACTTTCTGTGCGTGTTTTGTCTTTGATGTCACGTCTTATTAAACGCTTTATGTCCGACCTTATTAGATACTATTTCTGTCATACTGTGCAAGGTTGTTCAGCCGTGGTGATTTGTTTCTGTACTGCGACATTCCTTTTCAGTATTGCAGTAGTTGTTAGCTTCACCTGGAGACGTTGCAGACCCTGGGTGAATAACTTAAACTTTCATTCAGTGTGTGTCACTATGTAGAAATTCCCTGGTACCCAGGGAATTACAATAGTAAGGCAGTCAGGTTCTGGGTGTGTTGACTGACTGACTAAAAAGGCGAAAATAGTTTCCAGCAAATGTAGCTTAACAATGTAAATGGGTCTAATCTGTCTTACCTGAACTTTTGTATGTTATTATTAACCTGCTGAGGCAATTTTGTGTTGAATTTCAGTGGTTTCATCCCAACCCAGGCTTTAGAGCCAAAACTAGGCCTGGATCGTTATGCTATTTAAAAAAATCTTAATAAAAGCAACAACAACAGTAATAAGAATACGATTTTTTCAGACATTGGGCTTTTAACATGTGTAATAATGTCTTTGTTCTAAAAAATCCCAACAAGGATGTCTGTGTTGGCAGCTTTTTGGTAAACGAGATAGGAATTCTCCCACGGAAACTAAAACAAGCCCCTTGCAGTCCCTTTTTGTGTGATCATTGATGTGGAATTTGGGAAGCTGGGATGGGGGTGGAGTGGAGAGAGATGTTATCACCACTTCAGCAGGTTTCTGTAGAATTCTCTGACTATCAATCCAGCATTTGTAGTGTAGTTAATTCACGTAATTGAAACTGCTACACCAAGATGCACTCGTGTTGATAATTGTTGTTTACTTGTGGCTGAAACCTGTAATAAATAATACAAACTTCATTCAACCTGGCAGAGAGCACTGCTGTTCTCCGTTGAGATGAATGCCTCAAACATGTATGTTTTACCAAGAGCAGTTCTCCTGCACAGACGTCTCCTGGTTACTATATTAGCACATGGAAGTCAAAGTGACGCTGCTGCCGTTCAAAAAGGCCATCGTTCTTGTGTTGGGATATATTGTACCAGGGGAAGGGGCTCAGATTTGACTGTTGCTACAGTCAGAGGATTTAGAGTCCGCAGGGATGAAGTAAACCTTTGCAATGGTGATGTCACTGGCATCACAAAGTTCAGTTGTAGCATTGATAAGTGAGAAAGCAAACAGAGAAACCGGTGAACAAGACTGCATTCACCAAACAGAACACAAAGCGACCTTTGCCTGGATAAGTAGATAAGTCCCCCTCATTCGCTCCCACTCTCCCGCTTTATATCGTTCCATGTTTAAATGTAGTGTTTACAAGGCATGACAAAAAGGAGTCCGAGTAGTGGGTTTTTGCTGTTACAGTGATTTTGAAAGCATATGAGACGTCCGCCGCGCCTGATATGGCCAAAGTGAAACAACATGATTTGTCATGTAGGTGGAGCTAGATGTAGATAATAGGAGGGTGAGTAAAAGGGACTAGAACGTGCAGTAAAGTGTGAGGACTGAGGGCAGAGCTTCAGTGGTTTAGCACAGGGTGAGAGGGACACACAGAGGCTTGTTAATTTTATGAAAAAGATAGTGAGCAAGCCACAGAGGCCAACACCACAGTGACAGAGAGAGGAAGTTTGATAATCAGTTTGAGGCATGACTTTGTAATTCTTTTTTCATTTGTTGGTTTCCTGAAACAGACATGAATAGTGATGGCAGCAAACAGCGTTTTGTGTCGACCTTTAAAATGCGCATCAAGGCCCCCGGTCCATCACCTGCACCTGAGAACGGGCCAGGAGTTGTCGGCACAAGGACCTCAGTAAAATGTACTGATGCAGGTAAGAGCTGCTTTCAAGAAGAAAACACACAACTGGTGACATTTATGGATGTCAGCGTTTGAACAGGCAAGTCTGAGCACGGCAGTGCTTCTTGATAACAAGTTGGCGACCATCCAGAGCGGACTCCAACATATTCTTTAATATTCACTTGTAAAAACAGATTGTTTGCCTAAACTAATAGCGCTCACGCATGCAACACAAACAGTTTGCTACACTTAAAATTAATATTCAGTTTCATGTTTATTTTGAGTTTAGCCGTCCAGTAGTGTGCTTGTTTATTGACTTGGAAGCCTTTCACTTTCATGTCAGCCCACAGCTGACATCTCATTTCCTATGTCCTCAAAATTTTGTTTTTTTGTTATAACCAGCAAGTCACATGTGCTGTATTTCTCATGGTCATTAGTTTGCTCTTCCATATTTCCATATATTATATGTCGCTGTTGCTTCCATGTCATCGATCTGTTGGGCAAATGGCAACTTTGTACAAAACCTTCAAAGTCAAAATCAAGTCAAAAGTTCAGGAACAGGCATGTCTTTGGCTGCTGTTCAAATCAAAGGTTTTAAAGAGTGTCAAGTGAAATATAGAGTTACTAAAATTAATCTTTCCACTAAACTAACAACACATACCAGCTATTTGATAAAATAGCTGCTATGAGCCACCTCTGAGCGTGTCTGTGTGCAGAAGTGTTGCTCAGAGTTGTTGCAGCATTCAGTTCCTTTTCAGAAACACCAGTGTGCTAACTGAACCATTCAGTACTGTAAACACTGGTTAAAGGTTCATAGAAAAGCACCGTTTTGTTAAATCATAACTAGTATGCTGTATATGGGTTTACAATGGGCAATAATATGTGGTTCTTCTTTCTAGGTTTCTAAGTTACACTGCCTAAGAAACGACCTGGGAGTCTGTAATGACATGAAATTGTGTATTACTACTTTATGCTCCACGTTTCAAGCAGTAATTCACCTTGGGGCAAATTAGGGTCCCTTGCTTAATTTAAACACTTTTTTGTTAAACTGTAACTAGTGTACTGTATATGGGCAAAAATGCAGTTCTAAGGATAGATTACATAATTTAATACAATAAGACTTTGTCACTTTTGTATTAATTGTATTGTAATTCTGTATCTCCTCCAAATCCAGGGTCTAAACATCTGGATCCACCTGTCTTCATACAGCCTCTGGAGGACTGCTGTGTAGATGAAGGGACTGACATTAGGTTACGTGGAGTTCTCAAAGGAAGTCGACCGATCAAAATATCGTGGCTGCACAATGGTGAGAAGAGACAGTTTACAATGCATCTCAGTTTACACTGCATATACTTTTCAGCTGTGGGTGTGGTCAACCAAAGAACGCTAAAGAGCAGATAATTATTCAAAACAAACATGTTTTTGACTTTCTGTTTTTTATGCATTCAATTAAAAATGCCACATAGAGAATCAAGAAGCCAAAAGTAGTGCAAGAGCATGCTGATGGGTTGCTTGTTTACCTCACCTGTTGGCAGGTGAAGTGGCCCGTTTCGGGAAGGCTTCCTTCAATGGCAGGGAGGCCAGTTTTGTTGTGAGGGAGTGCTTACCAGAAGACGCCGGTGCCTACACCTGCTTGGCAGAAAGCAGCGCAGGGAAGACATCTTGCAGTGCTGCTGTGGTTGTAAGAGGTGAGCAACTGGGAACTCATGAAATATTCAGCTAATTGGACAATTTACCTCTTGCAACTTTAAGTCTACAATAAATGGAACGTTCAGTGTGTTCATTACTCAAAACAAAGCCAGAGTTTTATTTCTGATGTAGTCTCTTCTCGTTTTTCTCTTCTGACCAAATTAGACTTTGAAAGTATCTGTGGCGTGCAGAATCGCGCTTTAAAGACTCCCACTTCTCCATCCAAAAGTGTAATGGGAAATGGAACGTTACCGCAGACTCCAAAAGATGAGCTACACAAATTCAAAGGATCTATTTGTATGTCTCCTACAGGCTCTGATAGGCAGAGCCCAGTCTCATCTCCAAAAGGTAAACCAGAATTATTTGATTAGACAGTGCTGGTTAATTTCTAGTCAAAAAACAAATGTAAATTAATTCCCATTTAATGAACTATAGTTAGCACAGATATAATGCAATTTCTTCTTTTCTCTTGCACACTGATCGGTTTCTTAGTATAGAAACAGTACTGATGTGTTTTGATGTACAATTTCTTGGCCTCTGTTTCAGTTTCTTCAGGAAATCCATGTTATGTTTATAAAAGGAAACGCACTTCCAGTCCTTGTGTGATTGGCCGTTAGGCAAAACATATATAACACAATTATGCAGCTCTCCGATACACCCACTGAAATTTCTCTGTACCAAGTATACACCATGTAGGGTAGTGGATAGAGCAAAGTACAGTAAAATAGTGCAAACTGATAGCCATAGATAGAAGAGCCACACCTCTATCCTTCTGGCTAAAACCTACCTGCACCTGATCTGTCTTTGCAGAAGTCGTCCCAAAGAAGCGAGCCAACTCAAGGATAGGTGAGAAAAACGCTCTTTTTTTTTTTCTTTTTTTTTCCCCACATACTGAGAAATTTACCCACCTCTCCAGCATCCATGTGCTTCTTATTAAGTGCTTGATAACTTCTTCTGTCTGCTGTTATTTTTCTTCTATGAAAAAATGTGACTTATTGTAGAGTTTGTTTGTGCGTAGGCGGATCTGTTGCTGGAGCTGTACTTTCTTCATGTCACCTTTGGTCTCATAATGCTCTCCTTACGCTTTAATGTGCTCTACTGAGTTGACTGAATCAACCTTAGGGTTTAGGCTGCAAAAGCAAATATGTGAAATACTCCCATAATGAGGTCTGGTTGTTTATTTTGAGAGCACAGGACATTTCATCATTTATTCATGGTTTTTATTTTTAGGAATGAAATATTGGCTTGTAATGGCAACAGCTTGTACTCAGAAGGTAAAACTGTGCACATTAAAGCCACTTAAACTTAATATTATCAGATCTACTTTAGTCAAATTCACCATTCTGACGCCACAAGATTTGAATATTGACAGCGAGAGAGATGACATGACTTCAGCTCATATATGGATTTTTTTGTGTGTGTGTGCAGCACAAAGCAGGGCAGATTATAATCCCTGGATACTGTATAATGTATGGCTATAAAAACATTTTCTCTTTACTTCCTTTAAGGGTAAACAGCTGGGAATGTGTATTTTCAAAAAGCTGGTGAAATATTTCAACAAACTTGATTACACAAAGACTTGTTGTCCTTGTGGGCGATAGGTCATCTGTATTGCATTGTGTTTTCACTTGAGGCACAAGGTCCTGCTAAATACCATAATAAGAAGGGTATCAGTTAGCTATTTCTTAGTCTTTATCTCATGCTCACACACATTAGTTTTCAGGCATTCAGCAGATATTTTTAACCCTATTGTGAACTGAGGAAGTGCAGATGCTGCAGTTCACTTTGAGTCACTTTTCTCATTTTTTTTATTTTTATTTGGCAGGCCGATCGTTATGTTTTGAAAACCCACCGCAGCACGTGGAGGTGAAGGTGGGACAAAGCGCCAGGCTGACGTGTAGTTTTACTGGAAGCCCTCCTGTAGCATCTTGTTGGATCAGAAACAAAGAACAGGTGCAGCAATAAAAAGGATAAATAGCAAAAACAAGACATCTGCTTCTGCCATCTCAAATGTATTTGACTCCACATTATATCTATTTTTCCTGTTTTTCTGTGCAGATAGTGGACGGCCTAGAGCTAAGGACAGAAAATACTAATCGGAGTAGTACGCTGGTTATAGAAGAGGCTAAACCCCAGCACACAGGTCGCTACACCATTGTAGTAAAAGACCGAAAGAGCTCAGCAGAACACACAATCACCCTTTCTGTTATAGGTGAGTCTATTCTAAAGAGTCAGAACCAAATCAAGTAAAGCAGTTCCTTGGAGACTTATTTTAATCATCCTCCCACCAGAGAGGCCACAACCTCCTGCCTCCAGTCCAGTGATCTCCCTTGTCTCCTCATCCAGTCTTGTGCTATCCTGGTCAGGCCCCTGCTATGATGGCGGCAGTGCCATCCTTGGTTATGTCGTTGAAGTAAATAACCAAGGAAGTGCTGAGCCTGAGGTTTGGAGAGAGCTAACAAGCGAGTGTAAGAGTACCTCATACAAAGTTTGTTCTGGGCTTCAGCCACAACAGGAACACTGCTTCAGAGTAAAGGCCTATAACGTAGTAGGACTAAGCGAGCCAGGCCCAGTGTCACCAGTGGTGAGAATGGAGGAAAGAGGTGAGGTGATACTGGGATTTTGACAGCACATTTGTAATAAAGGCAGGTATAATAAGCATTAGATTAAAGCTGTTGTGGCTGTGTGCATACATTCAGACAAGATAAAAGAAGAAGAAGCCCCTCAGATGTATACCACTGTGTCTGTTGACTCTTCCCACAAAGTTACGGAACACTACGATATGCAGGAGAAACTTGGAATGTGAGTATCAGATATGTCAAATCCCAATTTTCCAATAATAATCTTTCCAAGTAGAAACAAGAAGTTTGTCAGAAACTATAATTACAACAAGTTGAGAACGTTTTGACATTTCCAATTCCAAGGAAGTGTGTGAGTGGGAATTCCAGGTTGAAATTCTGCCAAGAAAATAAAAATGCTTTCAAGTAGAGGCATGCATTCCAGCTTGAAAACACCTGTAGTCGTGTTTTATCCATGACAAGGAATGTACGGTGACGTTACCGTATTAGTGATAGGTGAACAAGAATCAGATGGAAATCAGCCATTAACATGAACTACTTATTGTGATAGGCCATGATGGTGTAACCATTAACTATTCATTCCTAATATCCAGAGATAGAAATGACTAAACTTTCTTCATAAGGGGAAAATTTGGGATGGTGTACAAGCTCATCCACAAAGAGACAGGACGTGTGTGCGCTGGGAAGTTCTACAAAGGACGCCGTGCCAAGGAGAGGGAAGCCGCTCGTAAGGAAATAGAGCTGATGAATTACCTCCACCACCCCAAACTGGTTCAGTGTCTGGCAGCATATGATCACAAGTCTGAAATGGTCATGGTGATGGAGTTGTAAGTATCCTTATCAGAGCAAAAGGCAAAGCAAAATTCCTAGTATTTTCTGGTGTGTCACTGCTGTTTTGTTTGTCTGCAGTATTGCAGGTGGCGAACTCTTTGAACGTATTGTGGATGACAACTTTGAGCACACGGAGCCTTCAAGTGTGCACTACATGCAGCAGATCCTGGAGGGGATTGCCTACATGCATCAGCAAAACATTGTCCATCTGGACCTCAAACCTGAAAACATCGTATGTGTTGACACCACAGGCACCTCCATAAAGATCATCGACTTTGGCTTAGCCAGTAGAATAGGTATGTGGAACAATACTCTACTTTTATGCTTGTCTACCTCGTGTGCGTCTTAATACCTACATTATGGGATTTCCATTGAACAGATCAAAACACACCTCTGAAGGTGATGCACGGGACTCCAGAATTTGTGGCCCCGGAAGTGATCAACTATGAGCCTGTGGGTTTGGGGACTGATATGTGGAGCATTGGGGTGATCTGCTACATACTGTGAGTCTAACTGTCTCTTTCTATATTCAAGAGATAGTTTAGTATTTTTCAAACAAGATTTTTGTCTAAAATTCTTTAGCTCATACAATCAAAACTGAAATTTAGAGTTTTAGCCTTATTGTGCCACCTAGTGGGTATAGATTGAAACCACATGTAAAGGATGTATATTCAACACTAATCTTCTCCACTTTTTTTCTGTGGTTTCCAGGCTCAGTGGGGAATCTCCGTTCCAGGGAAACAGTGATGCAGAGACCCTGGCCTTGGTCACAGCTGCTCAGTGGGAGTTTGACGAGGAGAGCTTTGACGAGATAACAGAGGAGGCTAAAAATTTCATAAGCTCCCTGCTCAGCAAAGACCCGAGGTGATTTCATAGATTTACAACTGTAAAGTACCCTACTTTACCTCCTTACTTAACCATCTGTAACTGTAATTGTTGATCAGGCGTAGGATGACCTGTGAACAGGCCCTTGCCCATCCCTGGATGGCAGCATTTAAGTCTAAAGAGCTCACTCTCACCAAGAGTCTGTCCAAAGAGAAGATGAAGAGGTTTTTGGCTAGACAGAAGTGGAAGGTAAGCACCAAATTACTCTTTATTTATTTATTTATTTATTATTTAAAATTTAAAATGTACATTTTGTTCTCATACACATTTGTCTCATAGAAAGCTGGCAAGGCCATGTTAGCACTGAAGAGAATGGCTCTGCTCTCTAAGGCGGAAGGCTCTGCATCTCCTACAACTCCTGGAGGAGGTGAAAATCTTGCATACCTTTACTCATCACATTGCACGCATTTTGGTTTAGTGGGTTTCCCATCTTATTGATATATATCTCCTAGAATCACCCCTGAGCCCAGAGGCAGAGGAAGCGTTGACCTCCCTGGAGCTTAAGCTGCAGGAACCCCCGGTGTTCACAAAGAGGTTGAAAGACCGGACTGTAACTCAGGGATCCAGTGCCCGTCTCTCGTGTCACCTCACAGGTACAAAGCAACTTCTTATCTTGGATTCAAGTCAGACTTACTGTAGCAGGCTTGAAAATTCAATCTTGAACATGTAAAAACATCTTTTCTTTGATAGCGTTTCAAAAGTTGTGTTCTTTTCCCTCCTGATCTCACATTTCTGTTTATCTTGCCAGGTTACCCTGACCCGGAGGTGCTGTGGCTGTGTGGTGATGAGCCTATTGAGGAGTCCCCCACTGTGCAAATAGAGTATGAGGAAGATGGCCAGTGTACGCTGGTTCTAGCCAAAGTTGGCCCAGAGGACAGCAATGTGTATACCTGTAGGGCCACTAATGACCACGGGGAGGCATTTTGCTCAGCCAAATTAACTGTCCAAAAATAGATTCATCATATCATAGTGTGTATGCAGAAATAACAAGTATAAGTAGAATTTTCTTGTTGCCTTGACCAGCTGTGTTGTACATTGTTGTTTGTGGCTTCTGATGAGTCAAATAAATATTGTTACAGAGTTACGTGCATAGATTTATATTTTTATGGCATTCAGATATGGCTTCCACGCTATGTTGAAAATGATGTTTTTACGTAAAACCATGAATCTGTCTGTTATATTGGCTCATTGTGAAGATTCCCCTTCAGCCCTATCAGTTTGTAATTGCGATTTCCATTCTGAAAAGCAGGCGGGTCTGAAAATATCCTGATTAATTTGCATTGTGAACATTCAAATTGCAATTCCAAAGCGTCCCATTAAAAAAAACTTACAATAAATGTTATTTATAGCCTAAGCCTAATTCAATGCTTAGTGCCAAAGAGCTTTATTTTCGTTTCTAAATTAAACCACTCTTGCACAAAATCTCATGTTCTTTTAGTGAAATGCACCTAGATAGGTTTATTTTGACAGGGTCCAACATACTCCTACATAGTACATACACACCTCCTACTGTTGTAAATACTGCATTTCTTCACACACAAACATTAGTAGACCAAATAAACAGATGGAAATATCCCCCGGTAAACACTATCCTTAGTCTCAGCATGCAGTTTGATATCTGAAAACATAAATGACAGTAACAGTTTTTGCTGCTTGTGTGAGTTTCTAGCTCTCTGTTCGACCTCAGGAAATGTGTCCATAACAAATATATTTTGTCAAAATCTTTTTGTCTCTGTCTGCTGGTTGAATTTCAAACAATACCATCAGGACCTTCAGCCCGACACTTCGGTAAAGCCGTCCACCTGCTTTACTAAAATATAGAGTATTTGTGAATTTAACTCGTGTTTGTCATGGTCATATTTACTTGATACCTTCCTCACAACCCAAATAAACGGATACCAATGTAGGTCTGATTCTTTGTTTTTTCACTCTCACGCTGTAAAATCACATTGTGGTAGCGGAGCTTTATTTACGGACTGCAACCAGGGTGAGGGAGTCTAATTAACACAGGTGGTTTGTCCTTTTCTGGAGCAGTGTGCTAAAATATGCAACATAAAGGAAACTAATTGGGTTGTATGTTGTTGAGGTTTAAATTGGCCTGAAGAAAAAGAGTTTGCACTCTCACCAGTTGTGTGTTTAAAGTTTGTGGTTTGGGTTTAATTTGCTGGTTTGTCAATAATGAATATTGTTCACCACATTTCGACTGCATGCACTCTGCTCTGTCCTGAGGGGAATCCATGCCTGACAGACTCTTTTGCTGCATAGATCTACAAGGAAGCCCCCCCATCATGCAATCATGCATTTGAACATCATGCAAATGCTCTTCTTAACAAGGTCTTGAAGTTATTTACAATTGTAGCTCATTTGAAGGTTTACCATGAATTAATGGAGTATTTTCATTACCTCTTTACCATGATGGAAAAGGCCTGAAAGCTCAGAAGAAATGTCGTTTTTTAATGCATGTACGTTTGCATTTACAAATGCTAGGCTGTATGAGCCTTGGTTGTTGTAGCATTTTAAAAAAAAAAAAAACTTTGGGGGCGGGGCTTTCTTTTCTTTTAATTCCATTGCTGTTCTAGTGTGCTGTAATCAGATTTTTGTTTTGTTAAAATAAGAAAAAGAAAAAAAAATAAGGAAATGACCACTGCACATGAAAAACTCATTTTTTTCTGACAGACAGATGTTATAAATACAATGTTTCAAAGTGTCACTGAACTGTGGCAAACGGGGAGGGACCTCGGTTAGTGAATAAGCAGGAAGCTATGTAGCTCCCCACGATCAAAGTGAATAACACAGAAATGTTCAGTAAGAAAACCTTTAATTTTTTTTTTGGTTTAAAATTAAATTAAATTAAAAATAAAACAAAAACCCACAGGCAGAATGACATTTAAGGATAAGAGACCATTGCACAATTTCAGAACATTTCTAAAATTGAAATTGCAATTATATCCTCAAAGTATATATATATGAGTTAAATTGGCTTTTCCCCAACCAAGGTTAAACCATAATATTAACAGATTCAGAGAATTGGGAGACATTTCTGCACAGAGCTACATGGCTAAAAATCAGCACTGAAGGGATTTGACCAGCAGGTGGCACCACATCAAAACAGAAATTCAAGTACTTGAAATTATTGCACAGATTCAGAACTACATCTGTTAACTCCACTGAAAGAGGTTTTCAAAGTGTGGTACAGTTTAAAAGACAAAAAACAACTTTAAAACATGCAAATTAAGCATATTAAAAGGACAGACAAAGCAGACAAACTGTCCAAACTGTGTTAAAAATAATGAAAATACTGAAGTTTGGAAAAGCAGTGTCCTTCGGGCTAAAGAGGAGGAACATGCAGCTTGTTATCAAAAAGCCAGCGCATGTTATGGGTAACTGAAAATCCACTTTGCAGCTCCATTTCATAAAACAGGTGCATAGAGGAACGACCAGATATGACTTTGCAAAAAAAAAAAAATTCCACGCACCGCTTTTTCGTCTGTTTTTGAAATCATGCAAAATAACCAATATCAGCGGACGACATTGGTAGCTATCACTTTGTTTGCCAGTATCAGCCATCAAGGTTGACAGTGCTATTTATCCAGAACGCTTACCCAAACATGAGGAGTAAGCAGTTACTAGTCTGCTACACTGGAAATCTTTTCTTGCAGCAGATGTTGCTCAGTACATGGAAACATTAAGTAAATTTAAATGCTACAAATGACACAAACAGAGCAGAGAGTTTACCAAAAACAAGACATTTTAATTCCACTGATAAATACTGCACAGGACGAGGTCTTCAACCACATTTGAGCTTTCAGTAGAAGTCACTTTTCAGAACATTAACTAAAAATTTTCAAAGTGTCCACATGAGCCTTAAAACTATAACTTTATTTGAATCCACAAAAATAAATAAATGCAGGGCAAGGTAAAGAAATCAGCTTGTGCTTTACAAATAAATAGCTTTAGGTGTATTCCTTGTGCATGTTAATTCAAAAATATACTATGGGTGCAAAGAGAAGATCCAGTCTCCTGTGTAAGTGTCAATAACAGGTAAAACAGTGGGCTGGTGGGGCTCCAAAAGCACCTGGATGGATGAAAGGTCAAAGGTGTCGCCTCATGCCGACTGCCTCCTCAGCGGTACCTCCTCCTGGTTTGTGTAAAGTTTTGCTGCCCGTGACTCAAAGGCACTAACCATCTGCTTAACCACTTCATCGAAGAAGACGCTGGCCAGCTGAGAGTGCAGAAGAGACTTGAACTCAAATGATACCTGCAGAATGGGGACAGGTTTGTTAGGAAACTGCTGAGGAGATGCTCTTCTGTGAGACTTACTTAAAAGAAAGAAAAAGATCAAACTAAAAATAGAAATCAAGCACATCTTTAGCAGAGGCGTTTTAAAGTTGGTAATCAGATAATCTGTGCTCCTGTTAGCAGCTCCTTAACACTGTTCTCTGATGGCTATTTCAGTGATACTCAAGACTAAATTTAGACGATAATAAGGTTTTACGCAATACTTCCTCTTTGCTGATAATCCACTTGAGAGCCGTACAAGAACTTACAACAAGAAATTAGTCTCAGCCAAGTATGTTATCTAATTTTGCAATTCCTTTAACCCTTAGATGCACACGTGGGGTGAAAAATGACCCCCCACAATATTCTGAATTAGTCGGCCAGGGCTTGCACCTGGGTTTAGTACTGTCTCCCCAATAGATGCATGGAAGATGTTCATGTTTGATAATTTAATAGAAGAGGTGCTGTCATACACAAACATGGAGGCATGAAGAGAAGCCACAAACAGGGAAAAGAGTGGAAAAATGTAATCAAACTTAAGCTCCTGGCCTTCATTTGATTGACCATTCTTGCAGGAAGTGAGAAGAACTGGGATGTACCAGTCGGTGTGTTTTTTGGGAGTCATCTGCATAACCCATTGTACAAGGCCACTATGTCAATTCAAAGTTTTGAACATATTCGCCGTTTCTTGCACTTTGATGACAAGAGGACCAGAGCCTACAGACTGAAAACAAACCACATGGCAGTTTTCCGCTACATATGGGGCCTGTTCCTGGTCAACTGCAGGCAGAAATTCATCCTCAGGGATTGCGTTACAGTGGATGAACAACTTGTGCCTTTCAGAGGAAAGACCCAGCTTCTGCAGTATATGCAGAGCAAGCATACAAAAGTGATACAAGGATACAAAAACAGCAATTTCTTAAAATTAATGAAAAAATAAATAAAAATGCAAAGGGCCTCATGTCACAATCATGTTTTATGAGGAATAACCCAAATATGAAAATATTACAAATCTTTGTTTTAAAGATTTTGAAGAACAACAGAGTTTATAGCAAAATGCATTGTTTCTATTTGGGGTCATTTTTGACCCCAACCGTGGAAGAGTGTAGGTATTGGTAGGTTGTGCATCCAAGGGTTAATCATTAATGCAAAAGGTCACTGTCAGTGTAGTTTTATGCCAGTGTACTGCTGCACAACCAGATGGCTTCCAGTGTCAAATATTAAGTGTACCACAAACACTTACATAGAATTCCACTTTGCACGAGTCTGCTGCGTTTCCGTCTCCAGGGGAAAACCTCCATATTGTTTCAAGATGGCTGAAGAGAGATCCATCAGTACATACAGCCTGTTTGAAAACAGTTGATTCTTCATCAAGGATTGCAACAAGGCATCAAACTCATAAAAATCACAAATAAAGCATTATGCCGATAGAAACTGTCTACAGTGCTGTGCAAAATGTGGAATATACCGATTAATAATGAAAGTTTTACAAATAATTTTATGCAAAAGCACATTTTTGTTAAGTGATAGTCGAACAAGTCTAATATTAAACCCCCAGATCTGTAAAAAACATGTATACTTTAATGTAATGATGGCATTAAGACAGTCATATTTTCCTTCCATCATGAAATGGTGATTCGTTTCATCTTAACTGGTGGCCTACAGTAAAAAGAGCTTTCCACATGTCATACATGTCATAAATGTTTTTATGTGTGTTTCGGTAGGTGTTGATTAAAAAGTAAGAGACCAGATACTTACCCTGACTTGGTAGTTTGGAACAATAGTGACCTCAGAGATGTATCGCTCGACAAGAGGGGGGAAACCGATTTCTAGCTCTGCCAGGAGGCCACTGTTTCGCCCCCTCATGACCCGAGACTTCTTGCACCAGGGAACAAAGTGCTGATACTGGTCCACACTGGCCACCACACTGTACATCTGCTCTGGAGTATACCTGAACACACAGTCACATAAAACCAGAAACACTTCAGTTTCTATCCTCTGCATCCATTTTTTCAGGTTTATCCAGAACCCAAAGAAATTCTGTAGACTGCTATACAAGATAAGAGGATTAAACTAACGCTCATCAACTCTGCCTGAAATATGACCCCAAAAACACTGTTCACTTTAAAACTCATTGTACATAGTAAAAGGTACTCAGACAAGACTCAAGTTTTTAGCATTTCTTCAAATAAGACATTATCTGTTATTTTGTTTACATTTCACATAATTATTTTAGTCCTTTTGCAAGGGGGCACTCACCCCAACGTCCGACACTCAGTGTACTCCATCCTGCGGTTACTGATGGGAGCTGCCAGGTTAATGAAGCTTCTGCTTGGCGTGCTTACACAGGTGCTAGGGGAGAACTGGAGGCTTGCCCTTCTTGCTTCCAGGATCCCAGAAGAACCCAAGATCCTGAGGAGAGGAAATCATATTTGTGAGCTCTTTAATCATCTGTTCAATCACTATGCTATTATATAAAAATCCCACAATATTTTAATGTATGGCCATCAACACAGTATTTTTCCCCAAAGGCAATGCCAAACATGTATGCTAACATTCATTGTATGTAGTATCAGAAAAGCAAGAGGGCCATATCTGTTAAATGTGCATCTTAAGCGTTGGTTTACT